GGGACGGCCTGAGTGCTGAGACAACAGATGAAGCAGAAGTGGGAGGAATTGAGTAATTGAGGAATGCACAGTCATCCTAAGGAGATAAGGATACCAAGTCTGGCAAGAACATGCAGGGGTTATTAGAATTACTGTTTACCCATCTAGTCTGATCTCAGATCTACCAGGTTCAAAAGACGGAAGAGAGGGAATGCACAAAGAAAGGGGGTGTTCCACTTGAGGAAGAATGCTTCACCTAATGCAGTGGTTCTCAAACTTTTCCGCATCACACCCCCTTTTTGATTTTTGAGAAACCCTCAGGCCCCGCCTCCCAAAAAAATAGCAGCAAAACTTGAGGTGGGATTGACGGGGGGTGTGGTGGGTCGCCTTGCGCCTCCCATGGAATTTCTTCATGCTCTCAGGGGGCACGCCCCTCCCCCCCCCTCCTCCCCCCCGTTTGGGAACCCATGACCTAATGACTGTCTGTGAAGGCCTGCCCTGGAGTAGAATTGTGAGTATTTGGCACTCTGGGTGGTTGCAAAGAGGTTTATTTTGGGCAACTCCCACTGTTGGAAAATGTATAGGGGGATTGTGCTGAGCTCCCACTCTCAGTCCTGAGAAAATTTTCAGCTAAAGGCATCCACTATGGCATTCTGACACAGGTAGGTAAACTACGGTGATGTGGATATCGTGTCTAATGCACCATCGCCAGAGTTGTATGGCTTCCACAGAAAGGGGATATGAACATGCTTACCTCACTTGTCTGTACAATACAGACATGCATGTGGTTCATGGCTGGTCTGTATAATACATAGCTTGCATGTGGTTTGTGTTCAGTACTTTTACTGAAAATAGTCTTTGCCAATAGTAAATCTGAGAAATCTGTAGTGTGGGGGATGCATTTGGTATATGAAAATCCTTGAGGTTGAGGGCTAAGAACCAATCCCCTCTTTCTAATGCTGGGATTATTGTGCCTAGTGTGACCATCTTGAATTATTGCGTTTTGACAAACTTGAGTCCCCTGAGGTTGAGTATTGGTCTCCATTCACTGCACTTTGTGAGACAGTAGTGGGAATAAAACCTTCATCCCTTGTTCGTGTTGGTTCAGGCTCTCTTGCTCCCAGTTGCACAAGGATTAGGAGGGTTGGTTGCATGGCATCAGCTAACTGCCTTGAATAGTGTGAGGCAGGGACCGTGCACATGTGACCTAACCAGGCACTGCTACCAAAAGTCTGACTATGAGCACAGGAGTGCACAGACACCTAAAGTGAAGCACACAAAGAATACAAGATGCCAAGTTGAAGGTTACACTAGGTCCCAAGTTAGTTCTGTAGATGTTGAATTTGAATGTACTCTCAAGTCACTTTAGTATGACATGTACCACTATTTGAGAAACAGTGTGACATGTAGTCCGAGAGATCCATATGCTTACATCTCTGCTATTTATCCTATCTTCATCATCCAACAGAGGCAAGTAAGTCTTCCATTATGCCGACAATATTGTATTGTCACCATTTGTTTCAGAATACCCAGTCATCTGATAAAAAATGCTACCTAAATAGCTTTACAAATGCAGGTGGTGATTATTCATAGGAAAAAAACCAGAGCTGGCGGTGAGCAGATAAGATAAATGGATATGGTACCCTTTTTCACTACATTATCTTACACAGCTCTTGGTACCACAGAGAGAGCTCATCATATGAAGAGATTCACTACTCAAAGTTGGGTGTTACTGCTTAAGCAACTGTGGGAATAAAAACGCAAAACAGAGTGAAATACTCCTCAATGCATTAATTTTCGATGGAGAGCTACAATGTCACGCTTATTTTCATTATACTATTAGGAAATAGCCTCAATATTGGTAGGTTTTTTTTCCCCACTTTGAGAGCGCAAAGCTCATAGGTTTGTGCAATTTCCAACTGTATTTGCTTTAAAAAAGTTGGCTTTGTTTTTAAGAAAATCCTGGAACTCAATTATGGAAACCAGTGAGGCCATCTAAATCTTTCCCAGGCCATTGCAAGAGAGCTCGCTTCCTCCAGGACATTTAGTTTTGGCCAGTCTACTTCAGTGTTGTTTATTTTACTTCTACACAATTAATAGAAGTACTGGCTTACATTTAACGTACATGGGACATTTTGGTCTGCTGCTTTTAACTGAATAGAATTTTGACCTCAGTTCTTCCAACTTTTAAAAGCTGAAAGCCATTCTGATAGCTCAACAGGAAGCACAAAAAATTCCCTAACTCCCATCTTCAGACCTCAGTTTGAAAACCTCCTTTGCAGTGAGCTGGTATCTTTATTTTGAAATCCTATTATCTCCTAAGGGTTTCAGACATAGAAAATGTACTAAGGGATATGGTGGATACACTATCCAAGTCTTTTCCTTAAGATTGGTGGTCTATGATGTATTCTACTTCATCCACAATTAGATGAGATTAAGGAATGACTAGGGGAAATTGTACAACCTGTGCAGTGTGAAGGTAAGACTAGACAATAAGGACCCTTCCAATCTTAAAAAAGAAAAAAAAGAAATAAAATCTATGCATTTTTCTAGGTACTTCTCTAAGTTTATTACAAGTTGATTGACTTTACCTCAGTAGGATTTAAATAACAACTCAGCTTAGACAGGAAAGGTAGTGAAGAGTATATAAAGGCTATACTTCCTATTTTAATATGGACTTTGACTCCAGAGCATGTGGATTATTCACAAACTTGACTTTCCTTTAAAAGACTGCAGAAAGGTACTCACTATGCATGTTAGCATTTATATAGCTAGGGACACAAGCCAACAGGCAACTCAGAGAGAAAGGAAAGGAGTGAGGGAAATTATTACACTTCCACAGTCAGTGAACATAAGAACTTAAGAACGGCCGTACTGGGTCAGACCAAAGGTCCATCTAGCCCAGTATCCTGTCTACCGACAGTGGCCAGCACCAGGTGCCCCAGAGAGGGTGGACCGAAGACAATGATCAAGCGATTTGTCTCCTGCCATCCCTCTCCAGCCTCTGACAAACAGAGGCCAAGGACACCATTTTATCCCCTGGATAATAGCCTTTTATGGACCTAACCTCCATGAATTTATCCAGCTTCTCTTTAAACTCTATTATAGTCCTAGCCTTCCCAGCCTCCTCTGGCAAGGAGTTCCACAGGTTGACAACACGCTGTGTGAAGAAGAACTTCCTTTTATTAGTTTTAAACCTGCTACCCATTAATTTCATTTGGGGTCCTCTAGTTCTTCTATTATGGGAACTAATAAATAACTTTTCTTTATCAGCCCTCACCACACCACTCATGATTTTATAGACCTCTATCATATCCCCCCTCAGTCTCCTCTTTTCTAAACTGAAAAGTCCCAGTCTCTTTAGCCTCTCCTCATATGGGACCCTTTCCAAACCCCTAATCCTTTTAGTTGCCCTTTTCTGAACCCTTTCCAAGGCCAAAATATCTTTGAGGTGAGGAGACCATATCTGTACACAGTATTCAAGATGTGGTCGTTCCATAGTTTTATACAGGGGCAGTAAGATATTCTGGGTCTTATTTTCTATCCCTTTCCTAATAATTCCTAGCATCTTATTTGCCTTTTTGACCGTCGCTGCACTCTGAGTGGAAGTTTTCAGAGAACTGTCCATGATAACTCCAAGATCTCTTTCCTGATTTCTTGTAGCCAAATTAGCCCCCATCATACTGTACGTATAGTTGGGGTTATTTTTCCCAATGTGCATTACTTTACACTTATCCACATTAAATTTGATTTGCCATGTTGTTGCCCAATCACTCAGTTTGGTGAGATCTTCTTGGAGTCCCTCCCAGTCTGCTTCTGTCTTGACTATCCTAAACAGTTTGGGATCATCTGCAAACTTTACTACCTCACTGCTTACCCCTTTTTCCAGATCATTTATGAATAAGTTGAAAAGGATTGGTCCCAGGACTGACCCTTGGGGGACACCACTAGTTACCCCTCTCCAATCTGAAAATTTACCATTTATTCCTACCCTTTGTTTCCTGTCTTTTAACCAGTTCTCAATCCAAGAAAGGACCTTCCCTCTTATCCCATGGCCATGTAATTTACACAAGAGCCTTTGGTGAGGGACCTTGTCAAAGGCTTTCTGAAAATCCAAGTATACTATATCTACTGGATCCCCCTTGTCCGCATGTTCGTTAACCCCTTCAAAGAACTCTAATAGATTAGTAAGACAGTGTGCTCATACTTCAGCAAATCCTCATGACATGTACCTTTGTTAAGTTGGGTGGATCAGGTAAATATCTGAATGGCATAAAAAAAAACAAATGGCCAGCACCATTTTTTGTTTTATTCTGTAACAGACTAATTTGGCTACCCCCTGAAGCTTCTGAATGGTGTCATTCACCCACATAAATCTCCAAATACACTAGACACAAATATGGCTCTATCTCCAAGGAAGCCTTCAGAAGTTACTGTGAACAGCCAGCACATAGTTCTGGGCTGGACAAGATGTGGCCCGGGGGACCGGATGCGGCCTAACGCTTTGACCTGGCCCACAGATTGCATCTGGCCACTTTCTATTTAGATCCTGCTGTTTGTGCCACTGATTTTCCAGGCATTGGTTCAGGCAGGATCCTATTTAAACGGCTCATCGCTTCTGATCATGGCACTACCCGGCAGGGGTTGGAGCCCTTTAAATAGCTGCAGCAACCCCAGACAATGTGGTGGTGGCGGGGCTGGAAGCTGCGAGCCTCCTAATGTGTTTTTTATTCAAAGCCTCCAGCCGCAGACAACTCTAAGGGGAGGCTACTCTCCTAGCCCTGTCCTTTCTGACCTAGACCTCACTGCTCCCGGGATGGAGTTGGCCCATGACCATGTACCAAAATTCATTAAGTGCCCGCCCTGCAAAAATTATTGCCCATCCCTGACATAGCTTGTTTCAAAGGAAGAGACAGAAGGTGTGACAACTAAAAAACAGATATGGTACTATGGTGTTAATAGACAAAGTCCATGAAGTTACTGGTAAGTACTAGGAAAGAACAAGAGCAAAACTTACATACCAATGATCCCAACCACTAGCTCATTGCTAGTATCATCGCGGCCAACCAGCAGGGAATAGTCAATGATGAGGTGGCTGGAAAGAAAGTGGGAATCGCTGTGGATGGAAGCCCTCAGCACAGCCTTGCAGTGGGAGCGGATATACAAAGGGTTGTCCCGGACCATCTTCAAGAGATTTTCATCGAGCAGAACAATATCGCAGCTTTCCTTCCCAGTGTCTGTTTTCACATTTCTGTTCCGCAGAGAGCCCTTCAGGTCAAACACCTAGCAGGGGAAAAAGCATTTTGTTTCACTAGAATAAAGTCTGTTTTACTCACCCTTCTACTCTGTTAGAGATATCAGCGTATCAAATCTATGAACCATTTTACTAGGAGACCATGAAACGTCAAATATCTCAGTTAAATCAATTACTCCCAAGCTGGATATATGGGATTGGGTGGTAATGAATCAATGGACCTTGATGAAGATGTCAGTACACTACTTACAGCTTTTACTGTATTATGATTTAGACTTTAAAGATGACCTGATGTGATATTTTCTTTTAAAATGGTATATAAAAGAAAGCTAATTCTGCCACTTAGTGACAATAGGGAGGAGAAAACATTCCTGAAAGGGAGATTCTTACATGAAACAGATTGTGCTGTGGTTGAGAAGGCAAAAGGATCAATGTTAAAGTTATATCCAGTATTGTTTGCTGCAAAACACAACACTAAAGGCCATATAAGCCTGTTGAAAAGGCTTAGAAAACTGGTCCTGTCAACTTCCTAAGAGCTGTACTCCACCAGTGTAGCAAGAAGTTGTGACAGGGCGTTTGCCCTGCACTGGCCCTTTAAGGGCAAACCCCAGCCTGGAGCAGAGCCTGACAGGTTAGGCCCAGCTGAGGCTGCATTAGTGGATTAGGGCCCAGCTAGGAGCTATATAAGAGCATGGGCGGCTGCTCTGGGGGAGGTTAGTGAGGGCCTGGCTGCTGGGGAAGCAGGAGGCTCCCTGGAGCTAGAGCAGGGCTGGGGAGGCAAGGCAGGGCTAGGGCTAGGGCAGCGCTAGCCCCACAGACCCCCAGACTGCAGGGCCTGTATAACAGCCTGGTGGAGAAACAACTACCCCCAGAAGGGGGGCTCAGAGACTGACTTGGGCACTGCCGGAGGGCAGTGGGGTGAAGAGGACGACGCGACCTGGAGGAGAGAGGGGAAACCCCACCAGAGGGAAGGTACTCTGCCAGCAGAAGGAGCTGATTCCGGAGGCAGACGGCAGACCCCCGCTACGGTGGTGAGTGAACCCCCTCACAGATGGTGGAAAACATGGGTAGAGCCCTGAACCCCTAGACAAAAAGGGGGGTGTGCAAAAAAACCCGCACAAAACGGCGGTAAACCCCAAGAGGGGCGGAGGGCGCCTCCCTGGTGTGAAAGGGAGGAGAGCCAGGACCATGGACCCCGCCTAGATATTTGACTGGCTCACGGAGCAACAAAAACAGCAGCACCACCACCAAATTCAGTTGTAGCAGCAGCTGGCTGCGGAAAGCCAGGAACAGCAAAGACAGCTGGTTAGGGAGATAACCCAGCAGCAAGAAAGATGGGTGCATCACGGGATAGGGCGAGGGACGAGTGTTGGACCGCTGGGGGATGGAAGCAAGGGACCGGGGCCCCTGGATGACCCAGAAGCGTACCTGGTCACTGTCGAGAGGGTAGCGCAAGCTGCACGCTGGCCAGAGGAATATTGGGCCACCCTCTTGGCCCTTTATCTTACAGGGCCTGCGCAGCTCGCGTATAGGAGCTTGACAGCCCAGGACGCCCTAAAATATTATAAAGCCAAAGAAGCGATACTAGATCAGATAGGAGTGACTCCAGAAACCTATCGGCAGAGGTTCCGGAGTGAACGATATTCTCACGGGGCGCGACCGAGAGCCGTGGCCCAGAAACTAAGGGAACTGGCCTGGCGATGGCTGGAACCAGACAAATGGGATAGCCCCCAGATAGCGGATGTTGTGGTCCTGGAACAGTTCCTGCAAATCCTCCCCCCAGGGGCCCAGCAATGGGTACGCCAACATTGCCCCCAAACGCTGGCCGATGCGGTCACTGTAATGGAAAATTATATGGCAGCCAAGCCCCCGGGAGGACCGATGAGACGTGATAGAGAGGCCTGAGTGGAGCGACCCTTAAGGGGCAGAGGGAAGCCAGAAAGGGGAGCAAAGGAACCGAGGCCCGCGGGGGCCAGGGGCGAGGATGGACGAGGAGGCCACCAGAGGCCGAAAAGGAAGGCCTTCCCGGGAACCACGGAATAGGAGGGATCCGGGAGGAGACAGTCGGAGAGGGAGTGGCCGAAGGGAGGTCCGCCCATAACCGCTGCTACGAGTGTGGACAGGAGGGGCACTTCATGGACTACTCCTTTGGGCAAGGGGTACCCTTGGGGGTGTCCCCTCACTCCACTCGAGGAGCTACAGTAACCACCCAAGTACTGGTGGAGGGGGTCCCAGTTCAGGCGTTGGTAGACTCGGGTTGCGGGCAGACAATGGTCCGTGAGGAGTTGGTCCCGAACCCCGAGCCCGCCGGGACCACAATGTGGGTGAGGTGTATCCATGGGGATGTACGGCCCTACACCACGGCTTGGGAACAGCTGCAGAGTGAGGGAGAAGAAGGCATCTGCCAGGTAGCGCTGGCTCCCCAGCTCGCCTACCCAGTGGTCCTGGGACGGGATTGGCCGGGCTTTCGCCGGATTTTACAGGCATGGAACCAACCAGACCCGGACCCGCAGAGAGAGGGGCTGGAGGCAACAGAAACTGAGCCCGACTGGGTCACTGAGCATGACTTCCTTGACGAACAAAGAAATGACCCCACACTGGTACGAGCCTGGGAGCAAGCCCGAGGAGGGGAGGAAGGCGGTGTGCCGAATCGACAAGAGACATACTTTAAAGTACGGGGGGATCGCCTGTATTGCGTAGCCCGAGAAACCGAGGTGTTGGGGGTGGTCTGGCAGTTGTTAGTACCACGCCGCTACCAGAATAAGGTACTGGAGCTGGCCCATGCGAACCCCTGCATCTCAGCCAGGTCCGGGCATCTCAGCCAGGAAAAGACTCTAAAGCTAATCATGCAACGGTTTTTCTGGCCGGGGATATGCAGATGTTCTGTGATTCATGCCCCACCTGCCAGCGCACGCGCCTACAGCTATGCCCCAAGGCCCCACTGGTGCCCCTCCCAGTAGTAGGCGTCCCCTTCGATAGGGTGGGCCTGAACCTGGTAGGACCAGTGGAAAAATTCTCGACCGGGTTCCAATATATCATGGTCCTGGTGGACTATGCAACCCGTTACCCAGAGGCCGTGCCACTGAGGAACACCACCGCAGCCACGATAGCAGGGGAACTAATCAAAATATTCGCCCGGGTGGGAATTCCCAAAGAGATCCTAACAGATCAAGGGACTAATGTGACATCCTGCTTGATCCAAGAGTTGTGCAGGTTACTATGAATAAAAACGTTGCGGACTTCGGTCTACCACCCCCAGATGGATGGGGTGGTAGAGAGATTTAACCGGACCCTGAAAGAAATGCTAAAATGATTTCTAGATGAGGAACCCCGCGACTGGGATAAAGCCCTGCTGGCCCTGTTATTCGCCATCAGAGAGGTGTCGCACGCTTCGACCGGGTTTTCGCCGTTCGAACTGCTGTACGGATGACAGCCACGAGGCATCTTAGACCTGGTCAAGAAAACCTGGGAAGAGCAGGAGTCCAGAGTCCAGGGGACCGTAAACTATGTCCTAAAGTTAAGAGAGGCTGAAGAGGCTCGGTGAGTTCGCGGAAAGAAATCTGCAGCAGGCTCAAGACCGCCAGGAGCAAGTGTACAACCAGGGCGCTGGCGTCCCCGGGAAGAGACGCCAGCTTTAAAAGAGAGCCCCCGCTGGAGGCGGGGGCGTGGAGGACTGAACATGGCCAGAGATGGCCGAGACTGGGACCAGGACAGACGGAGCAGTGGAGGCACCGACAGGGGAGTGTAGCAGCCCGGCTAGGAGAGGTGAGCTCTCCCTTCTCCCTTCCCCGCCCCGGGGGAAGATGGACAAAGACTAACCGAGATGGAGGAAGCAGTCCAGGACAGGCCCGGGGACCGGTGAGTTGCGGCCATGGCCCCCCCGGTCGGGCAGCGCATCTAGGATGCCTACCCTTAGGGTCCTGGGCTGGGACCTGGAGAGTGGGAGGGCCCAGGTCCCCCTCCGGCTCGGAGAACCCCTATAAAGACTGACAGTGCAGTTGCAACTGGCGGCTAAAGGCCCTCCCGGGAGAGATACTTAAGGGGGAGGGTCTGTGACAGGGCGCTTGCCCTGCACTGGCCCTTTAAGGGCAAACCCCAGCCTGGAGCAGGGCCTGACAGGTTAGCCCCAGCTGAGGCTGCATTAGTGGATTAGGGCCCAGCAGGGAGCTATATAAGAACATGGGCGGCTGCTCTGGGGGAGGGCCTGGCTGCTGGGGAAGCAGGAGGCTCCCTGGAGCTAGAGCAGGGCTGGGGAGGCAAGGCAGGGCTAGGGGAGCACTAGCCAAACAGACCCCCAGACTGCAGGGCCTGTATAACGGCCTGGTGGAGAAACAACTACCCCTGGAAGGGGGGCTCAGTCTGACTTGGGCACTGCCGGAGGGCAGTGGGGTGAAGAGGATGATGCCGCCTGGAGGAGAGAGGGGAAACCCCACCAGAGGGAAGGTACTCTGCCAGCAGGAGGAGCTGATTCCGGAGGCAGATGGCAGACCCCCGCTACGGTGGTGAGTGAACCCCCTCACAGAAGTTAAGCTCAAATATACAAGGTCCTTTATGCTCTCAGGGGCAGCAAGTCACATATACCTTTAAGCCATTACAGACACAGCAAGCACTACAACATGCTTAAACCACCATCTAATTTCTTCAAATTAAAGTCTCCAAATTTAGGCAAACGATCAAGATAGTGGGTTAACAATAAATCTTTTCTGACGTTCTTCTACATCAAATTTCAAGTTGTATGTGATTTAGGCTCATGTTCTTTTAACATTCAAAAAATTGAGCTGTCCATGCAAACCTTACTGGTCACCACTGACATCCAACACTTCAAGGACAAATATAGGCTGTCTAATGGAAAAAGACTGCAATCTTAATCACGGCTATAGAAGACATTCAAAGCTGATACGTTATGCAAGTCAACATTTTCAGGGGTACAATGCTCCAGTAATGAAAGTAGCAGGTCTGCTGTACCTTTCTGCAAGGAAAAGCACTCCAGAAGATGCATCATAGTTATTCCTTACCTGAGACATTTTTCTGCCATAGAAAAGGTTTTCCATGACAAGAAGATCCAGCTTCTTTTCAGTATTGTTCTGAGAGTTCTTGTATCCAATCCGATACACTCCAAGAATTTTGGCCAGTGCTGTTGGTTTCTGATCAAGAGAACAAAGTGGTAACATTCCAACAGCTATTGTAGTAAGCATCACAACTTTGTGCATCAGGAATTTAATTTTTCACCTCAATGATTTAGAAATCCTGGTGAAATTTTTGCTCTTTAAATTAAAAAAAAAAACTTTTCCTATAAGACTGCCCATATACACAACCAATCCTCCCTGTTATATCCATCAGAGCCCCTCATTTTCATTGCTAGTAGCCTGAAAATAATTAATCACTTAAATAAAATGACATATTCCAAAAACTAGCTTATACAAGGCTCCTACCTTCTGCTGAACAGCATTAGTGATGTAAATGAAGTAATGTGGGGCAAAGTCAAGGAAGGACTGGACCTCCAGACGAGGCATCTGCTTCAAAATGAATCTGTCATCTGTTTCAACAGAGAAAGGCTCAGTAATTCCAATTATAAGGAAACAACATGTGAGGTTGAATGCCTTCTACATATAGAGAGACTATACATCCTTCAAGACTTTGTCTTCCTTTGTGTCACTTAACTGAAATTTTCTTTTTAAACCTTGACAGCAGCAAATTGTGTCTGTTGGGACAGTTCAAGATCTTGGCTCTCAGGATAGAATTTAAAAAAAAAAGTCTTAACAGTGATTTGCCTTAACAGTGACAGCCAGAAAAGTGATTACAGGTTTTCTTTCAATTATATTAAAAACTGACATCTCTTAAAGTTTTATATTTCATAAGAACATAATCTCCTTGACCAGCTATTGTCAGAACTGCTGAAAAGTGGACACTGATGGCATTTTCTGTGTGCACTTTATGAAAGTCTGTCATCCAGTTGTGTTTTGAGATTTGCAACTGAGTTCTCCAATCCCCTCTTGCTGCACCTAATGATTCAGAAAACACCCCTTCCACGAGAAACTATTAAGATTTTATTTATTTCTTCCCCTTTCATAAATAATCCAGTTTTACCTTCTGTCACATAGAATGCAGCTCCTGACTTGCCTCCACGGGCCTGCCATGGCAGTGAGTGAGACAGGGAGTGGATGAAGTCCTCCTCGTTGCTCCTGAGGATCACATCACGCATCTTATGGAACTCTCCAGCATAATAAATTCGGCAGTAGAACTTGGCATTAGCATCTGAAAACTCTGAAGAGAGATGTGGAGGGAGAAGGTCCTTCATTAATTAGGAAGCTAGAAGGTTTTTAAGTCCTGGCTTGACAAAGCCCTAGCTGGAATGATTTAGTTGGGATTAGTCCTGCTTTTAGCAGAGGGTTGGACTCAATGACCCTATGAAGTGCAAAGCTGGTTTTCCCAAGAGAGATTGTAGTCAGTAATATTTTTCAGTTGTGTTTAACTCAGGGGTGGGCAATTTGTTGTGGGGGGGGGGGGGGGAGAAGCCACTCCAAGAATTTGGAAAGTGGTTAAAGGCTGCACTCTTCCATGATGTTAATGGAGGTGGTGCAGGATCCTGGATGGAGACTGCATGAACGAGGTTGTGGGTGCAGAGGAGGATTCTGACCTGGAGTAGAGGTATAGAAGGAGGTACAGAGTCTGAGGGGGTTGTGACCTGGGATAGGAATTGGACTACAAGGACCTAGAGAGAGTATGGATGCAGAGGGTTTGGGTTGTGACCTGGGGCACGTGTGCAGGAGTGAGAGGAGGTTGGGTGGAGGAACAAAGGGAGGGAGTGAGGTGCCAGATGCAGGCCCTGGCCGAGAGGTACGCACCTTAGATAGCTCCCAGCCAGCAGTCCAGTGGGATCCAGGGGCAGGCTCCCTGCCTGCCATGCCCCCGCAGGCAGCTCAAAGTGGCCAGCTGTGGGGGGCATTGTGTATGCACAGTCTGGCACTTCAAGGGGTATCTTCCATGCAATGTCTGCATTTCAAGCACAGTTCAGGCAGCTCCCATTGGCCAGTTTCTGGCCAAAGGGTGTTGGAGAGGTTGTGCTGGGGTGGGGGCAGTGTGTGAAGCTCCCTTTCCCTGGGGTGCATGGCATTTAAACAGTGTGCAGGCACACAACAGGCAGGAAACCTTGGACAGGCTTCCTCTGGGCTGAAGGATGGTGGCAGGCTGGATTTTGCCTATCCCTGGGTTAAGTGCTTAGAAAGCTGGCTAGGTAGCAATTAAAAGGGAAAAGGATGGGTTTTGTTTTTATGTTAACACCCCCCCAAAGTTAGCCCGTGTTACATGCCAATGCTTGCTTCAGAACTACATATGAAGGTAATAAAGCTCTTGTAGGGCTCTTTTTACAATTAACAACACTACTATTGCTTGAAGGACACTTGAATTTGTTAGTAAGATTGACATTGCACTGCAAACAGTCATTTTCCTGCTCAAGATGAACTGTCAACTCATCAGCTCCCAGTTTCATTAGGGAAATGCTCTGTTTTGTGAAGAGGGCAGTATGCCACCAGGAAATTCTCAATTAAGAGCTCCAAATTATCTCCTACTCACGAAGTTCCACATGGGGATTTGCTAACTGTTTCTTTTGTGCATCTCCTCCATCTGCTTCATCTGAAAAAGGCAAGAGAAACATTAACCAAGGCATGTACATTTAGCACCAAAAGCCACATTTTATAACAAGGTATGCTTAGTGCTGCATAGAAGTCACATTAAAGGAAGTTTGGGGTTTGCCAAAACATTTATTTTTATTAGCAACAGTAGTTCTAGAGCACCACTTGCCAAGATAATTAGATACTGCCTGAACAAGTTAAGATTCACAATCATACACAAATCATTTATTTTGCTAACTGAATTAACCTCAGTCTCACTGTTGAACAAGGTCATATTGGGCTTCAAATTGGGCTACAGAGATGAGATTCCACCTTAGTGTGCTATAAAAAACTGATGGTTACTAAAAGAATCCTGAAAGCACATTGTTAGTAGATACTGACAGAAATGCATTGTTCATTAAACTCCCTTCGGTACAGCTCTTGGTGCTACAGCCCTGAAGCCTTCACAAAGTTCACTTGTCTAGTACAGAGGGATGCTGGGCCTCGCAAGTGGAGCTCACTGAGTTTTCATGGGGTTTAGAGATCTAACACTTACTTCCCCTGGAATGGGTTGGAGTTTTGCTTGGTTTAGACAGACAGACTAGGTCCTGGGAGATGTGACGGTCCTAACGCATAACTAAGAAGAGCGCATACCTTGAGTATCTGCTCCTTGCCCCTCTGGACCTTCCTTGCCCATTTGTCCAACTTGGTAATAGGCACTATCTGCACCACGCAAAGTCTCTTTCTTCTGGGCAGACAGATCAGGGCTCTTCCCTCCCGTGCCACGGAAGAAGGATAGAACACCAGAAGCCTTTTTTTTTAAAGTG